CAACCCTCGCAGCTGCAGATCCCAGTTGTTAATGGGAACCAGGGCTGCAGAGACAGCAGCTATAAATAGGCTGGATGCATGCAGCCAGCCCCAGCAAAAAAAGGCCTTTGGTCCCCAGGGAAAGCTGCCCCAATTCCAGAGGCCAAGAATAAAACAAAAAGTGCCCCAAATACCAAGGGCCAAGAATAAACCAGCCACTGCAAAAAGAGATGCTTTGCTCCTCTCCCCACATCTCCCTTCTGCTGCGCTCCCTGGGCAGCTGCAGCCTCCTGCACTGTGAACCCTGAGCCCATCCTGCTCCCAGTGTCACCCCTTCGGGGCCAGCTCACACACAGGGCAAGGGCAATGCGGGGCAAGGGCAACACAGGGCAAAGGGCCCAGGGCTGTCCCTGCTCTGGGGCTCAGCGCAGGTCCTTCAGGTTGGCAGGAGACCCCTGAGGAGACAGGCACTGGCTCCTACATGCTTTGCAACTGGGTTATGAAATGGGATGGAGACGTTCCCCAAGGTGAGTTTCATCCCCCAGAGGGGTCCTCAATCTTTGTACCTGATCCCCTGTACCAGCAGCCCCCATGGCTGCTGGGGGGCCACAGCAAAGAGGCACCTGCACCCCAAAGCATGCGGCCTCCCTGCCGCACCCCACAAAAAGAGCAGCCTGCACCCCAAAGTGTACAGCCTCCCTGCCGAGCCCCACAAAAAGAGCAGCTGGGTCTCCACAACCTGTGACGATTGTTTGCAGCAGCGCATACACCTGGGAGCTCCTTCAACAAACACACAGCAGCACAGTGACATAGAAACCAAAACAATCTCCAGATTCCTGCAAATTTACTGCTGAGAATAAACTGAAAAAGAAGGAGTAATAACCACAGCACATACCTAGAGCTCAGGGTCTGCAGGAGCTGGGGAAGAGCCAGAGCAACAGCACCTGATGGCAGCAAATGGATCAATTAGGGCTGCAGCTGTTTGTCTCTGCCAAATTTAAAGGGGGCAGCCTCCAATCCATGGGGTGGGAGCAAAGAATGGGGAGGGCTATTGGGCCAGAAAGGCAGTTAGCTGTCCATCTCCTACCATCCTCCCCTGCATCTCTGGGGGCTCAAGGGCATCCGACTCCAAAATCTTTCTTGTGGGTTTTACAAACCATAAATGTATCCAAGGAGGTTTCAAAGTTATCTCCCCACTCAGACCCCAGTGACAAGCAGAGAAGCAGCCCCTTGCCAGATGTGTGCCCCAAGGTGTGGGCTGAGGATGGACTTCCTAGGAAGGAGCTGCTGCAGGGCAGCCCAAAAGGGTCCCCATCAGCAGAGCTATCAGGGAGCTCAGTCTCTCCTCCATGTGTCCCAGGCTGTGCTTGCTTTGCTTCTGCAGCCGCTGCATTCTTCAGCCAGTGTCACCATGATGGCCTCTGCCACCAGGTCCAGTCCAGCAGGTCCTTGGCCAAGGTTGGCTTTGCTGGCACCCTTTTTGGCTGACTTTGGGACCTTCCTGAACTCCAGCTGCTGCTTTCCAAGGTTATCCCTTATTTCTTCCAGGCTTGGCAGCTCATCAAGTATGGAGAACTAAAGCCAGCAGGTTTCCAAAGCATCACAGCCAGCACTGGGCAGGGATGAAGGCACTGCCACCAGGGAATCCAGGCAGGAGGGCTCCTCTTCCCTTCAGCTCTGCTTGTGGCTGTCTAACCTGAGACCTGCGGGCAGGGGGAATTGCAAGCTGATGGAGAGGACAACCTCCATCCTCCTGTTACCTTCAAAACCAGCCAGGCCTTCAAGAGAGGGCTGAAAGCTGCAAAAGGACTGGGCTTTGTCTCTGCTGCTCTGAACAGAAGCTTTTCTGGGCTAGGAAGTTCACTTGTGATCTTGTTGGGAAAAAATAGCCTGGGGAGGCCGTGAGGAGTTGGGAAGCATCTGCCAGGGGAATTGTGGAGCATCAGAAGGAAAAGAAAAAGGAAGGCTCGGATAAAGGAGCACTTGAGACCTCCAGCAGATTAACATCTCATGGGTAATTAAAGCTGAACCCTGCTGGGACTCTGTGATTAGTTCTGCTCCTGTGCAGAGTTTGGAATCAAAAGATTGGAAGGGCTGAAATTCACCTCCACAGCAAAGGGAACAAAACGAAGCAAGAAGGAAAAAAAGTATATGTAGAAGAAGGAAAAGGAAACCACACAAATGCAAGATTTGCTGGTGAAAGCGAGCAGCCATGATTTCAGTTCCCCAGCCTAGTGCAGCCACCTGCCTCACACGGGGTGATACACACAGCTCCCCACTGCTCCTCTGCCTCCCCACACCCCGCAGCTCCCCTTCTCACCAGGGTGCTGCCCACATCCCAAGCTTCTCCTGGGCGTCCTGGGCAGCCAGAGAACAACTTCTCCCTCTTTGACTTCTCACTGAGTTCTCCAAGGGAAACTACAGAACTGAAGACACACCCAGAAGGTCCAACTCATCCTCCAGTGGATGTTCAGACTGAAGGGCTGGAGACAAAATTGGGTTTTATAGCGGAGTGCAGTGTAACTCCCACCCAACGCTCCAGCCCTAGCCAGCCCCCCATGGGTTGGGGATAGTCCGTGGGTGGGGATAGCCCAGTACTATTTCTGTGCCATCGAGCCTGTGCTGACACCTCCCCTCTGCTCCACAGGGACCAACCACCCTTGTTGGTTTTTTTTTGTTTGTTTGTTTGGGGTTTTTGGGGGTTTTTTAAAAATCCAACTAAATAAAATCACCAGGCTGAACTTGAAGCAAATCCTGCAGGTCTGTGGTTGACTTTTAGGGGTGCCACATCTCCGTACACCCTGAGGAAGCACGTCCAAAAACTCACCTGGTTTAGCAACACCTCTTCCAGCCAACCTCACCACCTCACCCCCCACTTCCCAGGGAGGCAGGGAGAGCTGGAGCAGATGCCAAGCGCTGTCCCAGCAGCCCTGCTCCAATGCTCCTGCGACTCACAGCCCCAGGGAGCGCACAGCCGCATGCACACCCTGCACCAGCACAGGCTTTCTTGGAGAGCTCCCAAGTCAAACAGCATCCATGGTCTGTCACCCTTCATATGTCCACTGACTGTCCCCAGCAGCAGGGCACAGCGCCTTGGGTACCCCAGCCCCATGGCAGACCTGGCAGCCATCCCCTGCACAGCTCCACAGATGGATGGACAGACTTCCCCACGTGCTCTTTCACCATTTCCCTCCTCCCAGTCCACCCAGTTGGACGGCTGCTCAGCACCATCTGGTGGCTGTGGACCCATGGCCTGGGGGACACCTGGCTGGCTTGGGGTCACCCCAGGCTGCTGGCTGGCTGAGGGGTGCTGGGGTATCTCAGACCCCCTCTCACAGCTCCTGCTGCTTCACCAGCGCAGGGTGGGCTGTGTCCCACAGGAGATCCATGTCCCATCAGGTGCAGCACCTGGAGGACAATGTCCCAGCAGGCTCCAGTGCCTAGAGGGACAAGATAAGTTCCCCATGGTGCTGGTGGGGCCCATGGGGCTCGCAGAGCCACCATGTCACCTCACCGCCTCTGCCACCACTAGAGGCCGACACCGCCCAGGGAGGCCACACCACCATGGTGGCCACCACAGACTGCCCCGGCCCCAGCCCAGGCTGGCCCCGCCGCTTGGGGGACCCATTGCCACGCTGGCGCACAGGCCAGTCCCAGCTGGGGATGGCAGCGAGC